TCGGATAGGGACGCACTAGAACAGAGCGAAGGTAAGTTACTATATTTTATATAGAAACTGAATTATTCTCGAAAGAAAAAATAAATATAGGTGTAAAAGAATACTAGAAGATGCATCATTTCCGTGGTACAACCCTTAAAAAAATGAACATTCGCGGAAGGTTTCAAAACGTAATTTTTTTAGTTTTTAGTATAAGAATATAAAACTCAAAAAAGGCATAAATCTAATAGTATTCGATTAAATATTCGGGATCTATCGAAAACAGGCGACCTAAAAGAAGTTATTAAATAGTTTATTTCGATACGTGGTACAACGGTTCCATGGTGTAATGGTTAGCACTCTGGACTCTGAATCCAGCGATCCGAGTTCAAATCTCGGTGGAACCTGCTTTTGACTGAGCATATGCAAAGTTTTGGTATTTATGTAATTTTAATTTTTGATTTAAAAACTCTACCTTTGTATGTAGTAAAGTCGTAATAAAATTATTATACAAAAGAATCTGCTAAAAGTTACACTAGCTATTAAAACCAGCTCCACAAAGAAACGTATTTCAGAGGTCAGTGGCCCAAAAAGCTATATAGACGGTAATAACTCACTAAAGAGAATTTTAAATTCAGGCAATAAAAGGCACAATATGTCTATTCTATCTCGCAAATTTAAAACACAACGTCCAAACACTGAACAAAATTACAAAATTGTACATCGGATATACATTTTTGTTAAATTAGGTCACCAAAATTCACGGAGGTATCGTCGATTCAAACGTTACTAGAATACTAGATACTCCTACTACAATTATGTACCGACTACTGAATAAAAGATTTTTAGCGCCTATTTTCTTTAGTAAATAATTAAAAATTAGTAGTTATAGTATTACGAGTATTTTGTAATTTTACTACGCTTATTAAATAAAAAGTTTAGTGAAGTATATTTATTACTAGCATTGCCCGCGGCTCCGCCCGCGTTCAGATGACCAAAAACCATATTCTTAGGTTTTATATATTAGTATACTCTTACATTGCAGTTTGTGTATTTTTTCTCAAAAATGAGATATTTTCCCGCGGTAAAAAGTATCCTATATATTGACCCGCATAACCAGCTATCACTATACCAAGTTTCATCAAAATCCCCCCAGTCGTTTTTCAGTGATGCGGTAACAGACAGACAGACAAAAGTTCTAAAAACTATACATTTGGCCTCTGTATCGATAATAATGTCTATTTCAATAAGATTTTCCAAAAAATATCTAATGTACAGATTCGGCTTAGTTACAATTTTATTATATGTATAGATTTACTTTCTTCGTAGTACACACTCATTTTCCTGTTTAAACGAAAGCTCTAGGTAGTGCTTTTAGAGAAATTTAGTAAGAATCAAGTCTGGCTTAGTGTTCACAAACGTACTTTATCTTCGTTGAATTTATAGCGCAGTAGGGTCTCCCTTCCATATAAAACTCGGATAAAATAAGAAATAAAACAATATTTATCCGCTCGAACGTATCACTTGAAAAGAAGAAAATAACTACATATTTTTCCTTTTATATTAAATATTAAACTTTATTTTATAAAAAAGTAGACACACATACTGAATAGCATTGTGTACATATAGAGCACATTATAAGTTTTACATATAAAAATAAACCTGCCGTCATATCTTTGTTCAGCAAAATCCTGAAAAAACGACTCTGAATAATGTTGCACGCTCCCCTGTAACCTGATATACATCCTGCATTTTGTTACTTTTTTTATATCTACCCATTAAAGATCTTGCTAATTAAATGACGAAGTAATTAAAAAATATATCAAAGTAGTTTCTTTGTGTATATTATAGGTACATTTGGTTAACATGAATAAAGATTTATAAATTACTAGCATTTCCCGCCGCTCCGCCCGCGTTCAGATGACCAAAAACCAAATTCTTAGGTTTTACTATTAGTATACTCTTACATTGCAGTTTTTGTATTTTTTCTCAGAAATGAGATATTTTCCCGCGGTAAAAAGTATCCTATGTGTTGACCCGGATAACCAGCTATGGTATGATGACCAAATTTCATTAAAATCTGTCCAGTGGTTTTCTCGTGATGCGGTAACAGACAGACAGACAGACAAAAATTCTAAAAACTATAGCTTCGTACCATGTATCGATAATAATGTCTATTTCAATTAGATTTTCCAAAAAATATTTAATGTACAGATTCGACTTAGTTACAATTTTATTATATGTATAGATGAATTCATAGTACATGTTTTTCTAATGAACATATATTCGTAAGCTCGATCAATATTGAAGCGACGGTACTTTAGCAAGTACTTACGCTCGATAATAATTAATTATTATTTGGACCATTTCTATTTGATTACGTCAACGTGATGTTATCCTCTACCTTTCGTGCCCGAAATAAATAAAAACGTTAATGGTCTCATAATGAACGTCGTTTCCAGAGTGTAATTATTTTGCTTAAAAACCAAACAGTCGAAATATTTGTCTCGTCGTAATTCGGGCCTTGTTCTCAAAATGTTACGGTGCTCTACTAATAACCATCAGAATGCACGAGTATTACAAGAATCTTAGTCGGCTGGTCCTTAATATAATTCAATTGAGTTATATGACTACAATATGAATTATTTTATATACATCTAAATAAAAAGTTATTCATCTATATAAAAAATGTAAACAAATAGGTAGTATTGTTATATGTTTATTTCTTTTGAATAACTGAAATTATAATTGTATTAGTTGCATCCAGTTCACAAATGCTTTCTACAAATAATACGTTTGCGAAACTCTACATTTTATGGAAATGATTTTAATCAAATTAAGAATTTTAGCGCCTTAATCGTTTCTGTTAGATCAGAATTGGAGCGATATTTCGAAATGCTAGAGTCACGGTCCCATGGTGTAATGGTTAGCACTTTGGACTTTGAATCCAACGATCCGAGTTCAAATCTCGGTGGGACCTTAGTTGAAAACACTTTTTTATCATTAAAAAATCTATTTTTATAGTGGCAATCAAATATTTTTATCGAAATAGTTAATTCCTGAATATTCAAATATTATTTTCGTATAAATTATGATTAATCGTGTAAATTGACAAGCATGTTGATTGGTGAGCCCATAGGCAAATAAAATAATAAAGCCCACCGCCGGCGATTCTCAGAGCCGGGCCGACACGGGGAACGCGTACGCTATGCTTGTTCCCATCGGCATGGCACGGTAATGACCGAGGCTCGAGCTAAACTCCGCCAATTTTCGACGCCGGCATTCGACAACGAGTTGAATTTAAGTGATGTAAAATTTACTGCATAACTCATATTTCAGTAAAATATGACCATTAAATCATAATTGCCATATTCTTAAATGTTTTCTTATCCTTGCGATACATTTTTAAAATACTTATGTAATGATACGAGACATTTATTTTTTAATATTTATTTGTATTTTGTAGATAGCATTCTTAAGCAGCTAATATTTTATATTATATAGCTCAGGTAATAGTTTTTAACCGACTTCAAAAAGGAAGAAATAATACTTTCTTAGATATACGCGAATATTTGACATTTTTAATAAAACTATCTTTACGGATTATTTCGTGGATTTATTTTGATTTTTGGTTCCCGACGTTTCGAAAGCTTTACGGGAGATTCTCTCCCGTGACCATGATTAAGTACTATATAAGGAATAGATAATAAATTGTGTATATGGCACGCGATATCCATACTAATCGATTCTAATCTTACTAATATTATGTTTTTTATACAATACTAGCGGACCCGACAGACGTTGTCCTGTCTACACGTCTTTAATTTGAAAATTTCAAACTTTTTTTAATAATTTTTTTGATGAAAATTATTATTCAAATTGTGAATATAAACCATTCCCAGATCCCCTTGAACACACACAAAAAATTTCATCAAAATCGGTCCAGTCGTTTGAGAGAAGTTCAGTGACATACACACTCACAGAAGAATTATATATATAAAGATTAGCTACACCTACCACAAAGGAAGTCTCATACAAATTTCTGGGAAAACATCATTCATTTATAGTGGTATAAGTATTTAGTAGCATTAGTTTTATAACGTTATTAAGATCGCTTAATGTTTAGACTTATTTATATACCCGTAGATACAGTTAACAGCTTTGGTTTTAATAGAATCTCATCTAACTTAAATCGCTACCAACGTCAATATCCCAAGTCGTAATCTTCCGCTATTTTAATATCGCAATGTACACTCTATATCTGTACATTACTATACTATTTTATTAAATCAATATTAATTATGCAAAAAACTTAAAAAAACCGACTTCCAGGCACTGAAATGTAAAAAATGATTATACGTGATTTTCAAAACGTATTAATAATTTATACACTTTATATAATAACTAGAGTTCGCCAAGTGGTCGAACTTCGACCATGATTATTATTATTGATTTTTTTATTTATAAAACTAAGTTTTAGTCTAATAGCTATAGCTATTAAACTAAAATAAAAAATAAATAGATCGCTTCACAAAGAAAATGTTTATTTTGATGAATTTAATGTATTTTTAATGTATTTTATATAAAAATATTAGCTTTCTATACTACATCTCCATATAAACTTTAACTGTTTCAAATTTCACATTCCTCCGTCCGCGTAATTTTCTCAAAAAGGAATACAAAGTTTTTGCTTCACGTATTAATACATAATTCTCAATTTGACCACAGACTTTAACAATAAACAAAAGAGTATATATGTGTGTGTGTATACACAAATACATGGTAGTTTTTTTATTTATTTAATGTAGTTTTTATGCATAATTTAAAAAAAAGTATTAGCATTCTGCACTCCTTCTCTATATAAACTATAAGTGTGGGAAATTTTATACTCCTCCGTCCGCGCAATTTTCGTAAAAAGCGGTACAAAGTTTTTGCTTCACGTAATAGATATTATACAATGTACTAGCATAATTTTATTTCAATAGATTTAGCGTTGAAAAATAATAAATATTACTTTTCAGAGTGAATATAGATTTGCGGGCAGTGGATACGCTCGTGCCCCTAGCAGTGGACGGAGTGGCGGGCTGTGCTCCGCAGCGCTGGTTGGTGGTGCTCTATTGGCTGCAGTAGCTGTGCTAGCTGTAGCCGCACTAGCCTTCTATATGGGCGCACTTCGTCCGGACAATGGCGAACGTAAGCAATAAGCATATATACTTAAAAAAAATGAATTTGAGCACGATACCTACGTATCTTCATCATCGTATTACGTACATACGCACCGTGATAAAATTTATTTCTATTGTATGTATAGCAATCCAAAAGGATCTTATGTTAAATACCACTTTAAAACTATTAAAAAGAAATTTTAAACTAAACATTTCTTAAACACAATATAATTGACCCACGGGCCCTGAGACTACCTTATTTTAAATTACACATATTACATTTCTTTAGATAGTTGGTCAAAAGTTGGTACATACATACATATATAATCGGACTTATTAAGTAATTATTTAATTTTAATATTTGTCATCTCCTTACCTTTCAGCAATAATGACTTTTGAAGGCACATTTCGAGTGACAAGAGGAGATGTTTATGGTGGAGCCCCGGGAAGTCCAGCGTGGAGAGAACGCGCGAGGCGATACGGAGCATCGCTACGACAAGTGTATGCGGCGCCTTCAGCATTGCGACAAGCTTTCGCGGGAGCTCTAGTAACAGGCTTTGGTGATCGACGTCTCGATGTACATTTTAAATTATATCTTGATAGAAGAAAAATACCAAGGTATAATAGCAATAGCTATTAATGAATTAATCGCTCAACTAAGTTATAACGACTATTTTATATATATATATATATATATATATATATATATATATATATATATGAATTAGGAAACTATAACTTTGGATTTTTTCTAGACTTATTTTGATTTTTGGGTACCCAACGTTTCGAATGCTTTACAACAATCATGGTCACGGGAGAAACTGACGGTCCGCGAAAAAATCCAGAATGATAGTTTTTTTTTTAATATCAAATATTGGCGTAACTTTAAGAAATTATTAAATATACTTTTGTTGCAGTTCCATTACTAATATAGAGGAAACGTTGAAAGGCATATTGGTACAAGATTTAATATCAAAACATCCAGCATTCGGCCAAATAAAAATTGATACGTCAAGTATAGTCATCAAAAGGGATCTAGAGCATACATATCATTCTGAACAATATGTGAAAGAAGCAATGAACGAAAGTATAGCAATTAATAATCCAAAAGTATTATCACCTCCAAATACTAAAGATAAAACATTACAGAGTAGGATAGGTGTAGTACGTAAGACTACATTAAAACCAAATCCAGCATCAAAGAATGATCCAGATGAGCCAGATATTGATACTGAAAATATACCTGTTGTCCAAGGTTCTTTTCAAATCACTAAAACTGAAGCCGATATAACGGAAAGTAAGCATAACGCAAGCCCCGCACGGCATGAAGAAAAGCCTAATCAAAAACAAATGACAACTACAAAGACAACTACAACAACGAAAGCACCTACAACTAAACCTCCTATACTTAGAACTACTACAACTAAACGATTTCCTTCTACTACGTCAAAGAATCGGCCCTTTACTATCAAATCATCTTTTAATATTAAACCAAAGACGGAAACAAATTCTAATAAAGATGTAAATATTAATGAATCAACAATTACTTTACCAACAATACCTAAATCAAGTTCAACTACATCCTCAACTACGACGACGATGGCAACAACAACAAAAAATGTATCTCAAATTTTGTATGATCTTCTGACAAATGAAAATCACGACAAAGATTTGCCTAAAATTGACACATTATTTACTGTCCCACATGTAATTGACAATGAGCCCTGGAAACCTATAACAAGGCCTTATTATGAGGTAACAAGCGAAAAATCTATTGCATTAAATAAAGAAATAGCAGATCAAGGTGCAGAAGACAGAATAGGCGTAGCAGAAGTTATTGAAGATGTTGGTTTGTTAGAAAGTATATTAAATCCTACAAAAATTAATAAACCAATTGAAAAAACTACACGCAAACCTTCAGGGCTTTATAATATTGACCCCAATTTAGCTGCAGATGTATATATACCCAGTCCAGTTTACACAAGTTTCACACTACCAGCTTTTGCACCACCAATGAAAGATATGGAAACTCTTGGGTCTAGTTATCCTAAGCCACACCCACTACCAGTCGATAAAATAAGCGGTGTTGTAGAAGTGGTACATGAAAATATTTCAAATAATGATTACAATGATGGAAAACCAATTGTAAGACCGCCAAAAGATAAAACCACTTCGGTGACCCTAAACGTTATACAATTTGATCAAAATGACAACAGTACTGAGAGAGTGCCCATAGAAGGTATATCCATAGTTAAAAAACAAAATAGTACTACTACTACTAATAAAACTACAACATCGACATCAACACAAAAAACTATAACTGAAACTGAACAAACACATACTACTGTTTCGCATACGATGGAAATATCGACAAAAAAGCCTTCTGAAAATAAAACTACCACTATCAAAATAGACAATACAACTAAACGCCCCAACAATAAAGTTTCTATAATACCTTCAACAATTTTACCTCATCATACTTGGGAACTAGTTAACACCTCTACAAATAATAATGAAACTCACGTAAAAATATCTCCTCAAAAATATTACAATGATACGTTGCAAGCAATCATCACGAAAAATGAAGCCATTTCTCCTAGTACGACTCCAAAATTTCCAAGTAAAAGTTCTATACTACGAAATTTGACTGACATAATTAAGCGATATTCTCAAAATATTTCAGAAAAGCCAATTGAATTATCAACTCCACTTGTAACTGAAAGACCCAAGAGTGTGTTAACAAAAACTGAAAGTGAAGAAAACGAAGATCGAGACTCCCAAAATGATAGGACAGGATTTGTTGAAGTGGTTCTAGATGAAGAAGTTGAAACTACAACTGCCAGAGTAATAACATTAATGCCCGCTAAATCCAATTTAGGTCTCAATCGGCCATTACGGCCTCGACCAAAAATAGAAACACAAACATTAAATGAAAATAAGCGAAGTTTTATAAGTGACACTGATACAATTTTTGATCATGAGAATATTGACGATGTGATTCACAATTTATCTGAAAACATTCCACAGGCTTCTGAAATTGTTACTATGTCCACTAGTTTTAACGACGCTATAAAAGAAGGTGATGCTTACTCTTTAACCTTAAATGATTTTTTTAACAAATCTGATATATCTAGTACTCCCATTTCTAGTGGAAACAGATTACCAAAATCTAAGGATGATTTTATTTATACGCATAATAATGACTATACAAAGCATGTTTTAGAGAATACCGACAAATCTGTTATTCCTGATGGTACTTACAGAGTATCATATCATGTGACTGGAAGCGTAAGTAGTAAGCAGGCAAATAAAACACAAAATCTTCCAGCTTACGAATTGGCTCTACAACCAGACGTAGTGCTGGAAATACCTACTAACCAAACTAGCGCGTTAACAATCGATAAATTACGTCAACTAGCAAGTCTGGCGACTATCTCTGATTATAAAAACAATAGTTTATTTCGTTCTCCCGGCGGAGTAATTTCCACTAAGGCTATTCCTTCTAGTTATACACTCAATCAGGCAGGATTTAAAATATTGACAAAAACTTATAATAAAGTTCAAAATTCGAAGGACGAGAATAATAATTTAGGTAAGCCAGAAAAAGTATACAGCAAACCAGTTGCTACAAAATTTCAAAAAGAAAAAGATAATCTAAAAGAAAAAATTGAAGAAGGTAAGAAAAGTCATTTCAATACATTACATACATTGAAATCAATAAGTTATTATTAGTACCTATCATTAAAATAAATTTAGATAAATATATTACAGACACATGTAATACTACAACATCGTTCTTGTGCGGTAGTGGTGCATGCCTTCCTGCGACATCTCGATGCAATAGACTTTTAGATTGTCCTGGAGGTGAAGACGAACATTCTTGCTCTTGCGCAGATTATTTACGTGCTGAGTTTTCACAGTCAAAAATTTGTGATGGCTTCGTTGATTGTTGGGACTATTCAGATGAAAATAAATGTGGTTAGTAATAATATAAACAGTATTATATTTTATTGTACGTATTAAGTCTAATAAATTAATTATTATTTTTGTAGAATGGTGCAAAGAAAGCCAATTTGTTTGTGCTAACGCTCGCCAATGTGTTGACATGACGAAAGTATGCGACGGTACCCCTGACTGTCCTCTTGGAGATGATGAAAAGAGCTGCGTAGCATTAGGCGACAATATCGAAACTAATGAAGTAATTCCTTACAACGAAGAAGGTAATGAATTAAATGAATCGGTTTATCTACTACTATTTAAAGACCAATTTAATTGATTCGTATTTATTATATTTTAAAGGTTTTGTGATGGTGCGTAAACGTGGCGTATGGGGTAGATTATGTGTAGAGAACTTTGATGACGTAGTTTCACAAGCGCATAGTACACTTAAACTACCAGATTTAGGAAGAGCAGTGTGTCGGGCTATGACCTTTCAGTAAGTAATATAATATTTTTTCACGTAGGTACACAGTATTTAAATTAATTAATTTTATTATTAAGAATATAAAGATTATGGAAAAATGACGTCTACTGTAACTGTTTCAGTGATTCACCCTGGGTTCGTGAAGCAAGAGAGGGCCGAAAAGTAAGTTCTGAAGGCTACTGGGAAGTATGGCACAACGCTCACGCCCGTGCAGCCGACACTCGACTTACGTTCAAACGATCCACTTGTGCGCGTCATAGAGCTTTAAGAGTTCGTTGCAAAGACTTAGACTGCGGGATACGACCTCATGCAGATGCGCAAACACCCAGGTATGAACCGTATAATATTTTAATACTATTAATAAATTTAATTATTAATACGTATGTACAATGTACGTATCAATAATAATTGCAAAATATCCAAATGAATTAAAGATAATATTTTATAACAATTTTTAAGCAGTATAAAATTTTTACTTATTCGTTAGAAGTACATTGAGTAATTGTAAAGATTTCTTTTGAATTTGAGAGAGCGAGGTATGAGAGAGGTACAGTTAGGTATCGGTGGCGTTGTGTTGGTTAGGGCAGTTAATTACGAGCGCGTCCGGTGGGGCAGGGTGGTGGGCGGCGGCGGTGCTGCGGCGGGCGCCTGGCCCTGGCAAGCGGCTCTCTACCGAGACGGCGACTTCCAGTGCGGCGCTACCCTCATAGCAGCCGAATGGCTCCTGTCTGCTAGCCATTGTTTTTATCAGTAAGTATAAATCTCCTTTTTTGGTGTGTTTAAGTGTCCACTTTTCTAGTAATAATAAAATCTTTAAAGTTATATAGTGTTCGACTTACTCTCGCTTCGGTGGGATACGTTTCTAGAAGCCTATGTGTTACTCCAGGTCGTAGTCTATCTGTATTTTACATCCAAAACCGTTCAGCCGTTTCAACGTGAAGGGGTTACAAGCAATACAAAACATACAAACTTCCGCATTTAGAATAGTTGTCTGATTAACAAATGTGTTTTTGCGTTTTAGAGCGACGGAAGCTCATTGGGTTGCCAGATTAGGCGCATTGCGTCGAGGAGCGTGGCCTCGAGGACCATGGGAAAGAGTTGCACGTGTTAGACAAGTGGTCTTGCACCCTCGATATGCACCACGGGGCTTTAGGAATGATATAGCGTTATTACGTATAGATCCACTAGCCTTACACGCCCGTCTTCGACCAGCTTGTCTGCCGCCGTCACGAGCCCAGCCTCCAGCCGGACACTACTGCACTGTTGTTGGATGGGGACAACTGTATGAACATGAGCGAGTTTTCCGTAAGTTTCTTATTATTTTTATTACATTTAATGTTAATATCTTCTCTTATCTAATAAAACGTAAGATTGGAATGGAAGAGTATTGGATTCTAGTCCCAGAAAGTTACATGTATCTTCTTTTAGAGTAATAACATGTTACCTAAGATATTAATCACTTAATATTTTTCAGCGGACACGTTGCAAGAAGTTGAATTGCCAGTAATCTCGACGGCTGAATGCCGACGGCGCACAAGGCTACTGCCGCTGTACCGTGTGACCGACGATATGTTCTGTGCGGGGTACGAACGCGGCGGCCGTGACGCTTGCCTTGGTGACTCCGGTGGACCGCTCATGTGTCAGGTAATTACCTACTAAGTGTATATTTAATTTTTTTAATAAAATAATCTATTTTTGTACAGCAAATGTGAAACGTTGCATTAGGAAGAAAAAATAAAACAATCCAAAAAAAAGTTTTATTTGATACTAGCGATTCACTCTCGCTTCGCTCGGGTTCATCCCTAGGTACATTTCGACGCTTAGTATGGAATAGATAGACTATATAATTATATATATATATATATATATATATATAGGTATGATGACTTTTATCTCTTACTTGAGAGATTATTGATTCACAATACAAATTTCCACCCACTTAAGGGGGTATCTGGAGTAAAAACTATTCTATGTCCTTCCCAGGATCTCAAACTATCTCCATACCAATTTAAATCGAAATTCGTTCAGCCGTTTAGTCGTGAAAAGGTACCAAACAAACAAACAAACAAACAAACAGAGTTACTTTCACATTTATAATATTAGTATGGATAGTCAATGTTGGCCTAAATCTAAAAAAGAATGAATAATTATTATTCAAATTATCAACTTTTCTTAATTTATCTATTACACAAAAAAAGTGTATTAACGTATTTTTTTTTACTATAAATTTTAGACTAGTTTTGCTTTTCCAAACAGTAATAAATAGAAAGAAAATAAAAAATAACAATATAGCATTCTATTATATATAAAAAACGATAAATTGCTGTTACTAAAAAAAAATTCAGCACTAACCATATCCAGGTTGCCTGAAATTAATAAAAATAACCATCAATCCTTCCGATTACATTTATTAGAAAATATCAACATTAATCTTAACTGATTCTGTTTATTAAGAGTTGTGTATAATTTACAGGAGTCAGACAAATGGTACATATATGGTGTCACCAGCAATGGCTACGGATGCGCGCGAGCGAATAGGCCCGGTGTCTACACTAAAGTATCTCACTACGTCGAGTGGATAGATAGCGTTATGGCTACGTATACTCCCGTAATAAACAAAACTACTCCACTGAGTGAAGAACAAAACGAAGATTTCTACGCTGATTTGGAAGTTGCAGAAAACAAAGGAGTTGGTCATAAAACATTCGACACGTGCAGAGGCTTTAGATGTCCACTTGGTGAATGCTTACCAGCGTCGAGCGTCTGTAACGGTTTCCTAGAATGTTCAGACGGCAGCGACGAGTGGCAATGCAGTGAACCTCCGAACTCTAGTAATTTTAACCCAGATTGAGTCAATTATTTAGAAAATGTTATTTATAGCCAGTAATGATAGTTTACTATTATTCAATTTCGACTGATACTTTATAAGTAGAATGTAAGATATATCGGTTAAAGAAAATATGTCGAATGTGAATCTCAAGTGATTTATAAATTTTCTTTGAATTTCAAATTTCATAAAAAAACATCTATGCCATAAATCTTGGGCTTTGTACATATAGCTTTAAAACTCTTATTGCCCAATCTGTTGTAGTACTATTAACTATATAAACTATTTATTCACTTATGGACTGCCTTTTTCGTTTGAAGCGTTCCGTTTCAGATGGACGATGTATGCCATGAAAAAATAAAATCTTCATAACTGTTTGTTTGATGTTTTATTTCTTAATCTGTTAATTTGTTCATTTTAGTATCGTGTAGTGTGTAGTGTTTATACCGCTTGTTCAAATTCATTATAATCCCTTAATTTCCACTACGGCTTTGGTATGTAATAGAGAATATATGTAGCTTGCAATAAAAACTATGAATTAGACTTTTAATTTAAATCTTAAGCATACATAGTTCGGTCATTTCCACAAAAAATCTTTTAAGTGATTTCAATACAAAATTTGAAAAACTCACTACTAAAGATATCATTTAAAATATTTAAATTAACAATTTTGTGCATTTAGGTACATCCCTTAATGTATTAAATTTAATCACCTCATTTTGGGATTCGTAAAACATACAAATAACAAAGACTCACAATGATACAATAAAGAAGATTAATTCAAAGTATGTAAAGATTCGAGTATTTGACATCCATTACAAATGTGAAGATAAATGAATTGAAAGGGAAGCTTCAGAGATGAAATAATAACACGTATTTACTTAAAAATTATTTTAATCTTTCCACAAATAAATTAAAATATCTTCAAAATAAGAATGGCATAATAAAAAATAATTACAATTCTTATTAGCGAAGTCACAATAATTACGAAACACAGATGATACTGATTAACAATCATTTCTATTATAATACTTCCATTAATACAATTATTGATTATTACAATATTTAAATTATAAATTATACAGATGTCCTGTTATAAAATTATCTGAGAACAATCACAAACCAAATAAAACAGTTACTTAGAAAGTAATGTTAGAGAAAGCTCTTGCGTAGTCGACGTATCGGGGTTTTAAAATCACTTTATTAAGTTACAGATAGTCATTAGACATCGAAAAATGCAAACATTTAGAGACGGGCGATCACGAAATATCACTACTAACATAAATACGATAAGCTTAATCGATTAAAAAAAATTTAAATTGAATTACAAAAATCGAGCAACATACATTAAATTCTCTATTTAAAGATAGATGACTCAACAAAACTGAATACGATAGTGATCTTTCGATTAACTCGTAATCGCCCATCACTATACTTAATTTAAAATTTCGAGACATTCACACTCCTTACATCTAAACTAACACTACATCCCGTACCAAGCGGTACTCCGATCAATATCCCGACTTCTAAAGAAAATACAAAAACACGAGTAAGTAAGGAACATCTTTATATTCACGTAAAGGCCAGTATATACTTGAATGATAGTTATTTCTACGTCATATTTGATTTATACCTTAATATATCTAGTATCGAGCGAAATGAGCAAGAAATTGTTTAAGATGTACTCTTAGAAGAAAATTAGATTGATTATGAGATCGGAGATCACTCGCTATATTAAATTATACCTGTATCGATTTTAATTTTGTGCACGATGAGTTGAGGCGAGTCGTGTGAACTAAAAGATCTAAATCGTGCAAAGAATATAAATTTGCCTAATTAGTTAATCTCACCCCACGTGACCTTATAAGGTATTCGTAGCGTCTGCAGGTATAAAATAAAATATGGCGAGTCCCCGGGCGATTGCTTTGAGATTTAGCCTTTGCTCTCGACGGGCGTCGTGGTGAGGCCTGTGGGCGGCTTGTTCAACATGGTCTTGAATTGTTCAGGAATTGGGTGCTCCGTCTGAAATAAATATTTTAAATTTGTATCAAAATTGTTATGGAAGTATGGTTAAAACCATTTCGAAAATTCAGATAAATATTATAAAACTAAAATACATACGTAATCGCCATTGCCCTTCGGAACGAGCACATTCATTTCCGAGGATTTAGAGGAAACGATCTCCACGTCGAGCGAATCATTCGACAAATAGATCTGGCAGCCGTCCGTTTTATCAATCGAGATGGTTGGCACCTTACCCAGCACCTGCATCAAGAAAAAAAATTAGATGATGTTAATACTTATATAAGAAATATTTAAAATACTAGCAGAACCCGCGGCTTCGCTCGCGCTAAAACTTTATAAGATATCTAAAAAGGTAGTTTCAACAAACTTTCATCCCCCATTTTACCCGCTTATAGAATTAATTTGGAAAAATGATAAAACACGTATTTATTTAATTTTATTGAAGAGTATTAATACCAAGTTACAAGTAATTCTGATCATAAATAGTTTTTGGATGGTATTAACGTGTTTTCCCGTGGGAATTTGATAATCTTTTGCGGTAAAAAGTAGCCTATGTCACTCTCCAGCCTCCAACTATCTCCACACAAAAAATCACGCCAATCCGCCTCGCCGTTTTGACGTAAAACAAAGAAAGAAACAAACAAACAAACAAACAAACAAACAAACAAACAAAATTTGGTAGTTACGCAATAATAACTTAAGTTCAGTAATCCAAACAAACAAACACACTTTCACATATATAATATTATGTGGATTTAAAAAGTTTTTATCAAAAATCATTCGCCGTTGAGGGATATAATGTCAATTAAAAAAAGTCGAGTATCCAAGAAGAGAACAAAAGCTAACAAAAGAGCAAATCACTCGATTAGTAACCTGTTTTAAAGTCGATTAAAAAATAATACGTAATTCATTTGTTGTTATAGCAAAAGTTGCAAAGCAATATTAGAAACGAAAAAGGACGAAGATGTCGCAATTCAGTATGGGCGGAAAGCTGTCAGACCCTTTTTCACGAAAAGAAAATATTAAAACATGTACTTATGTACATAAGACGAGTTTTATCTGTATTAAAAGAAAACAGCATCAAAATAAAAACTGAAGGAAAGTGTATTTTGAATATATTTTTTCAATACATAACATAATATTTTTTAATATAATAATATGATTTTCAGTAAATCTAAATAAAGTAGTTTATAAAAGTAAAATTATATAATATGTAATATACCTACTGTATATTTTATAAAAGTCAAAAAATATAGAAGAATGTTTTTTTTCTATAATGGCCTTATAGTTGCGTTAACAGACGTAATCCATTCTGCCAGTGTCACGTTTTGAAGAAGAATGTTTAGAATGTCACTAACGTGACACTAATGACGTTTTGAATCATTCTGCCTTTTGGCACATTTTACAGAAGATGAAATAGTGATTGAAATAATAATTATGATTTAGATCTGAATACTGTATGTGTTTGAGATATCGTATAAAGTACTTTTATCCAAAACTATATTAAACAATGAGTTTAGAACACATTCATCAAATTGCTATGGAGGAAATCAAAAATGATGATACGTCATTGTTCCACGAATACTGGGAATACGTTTTAGAACAATTTGCAATACCTTTTTGCTACTTCTGTGTTAAACTTATTTATGCTGTTTACGCAAATTGCTCATTTTTTAATGCGGTACTTAAATATTTTTTAGACATTGTAGTTATTAGAAAATTACTAATAGTTACAGATTTATTTTTTATATATAGATGGTCTTTCTAATAAAGTGGGTTCCGATGGGTGTTTATATGCATAGGATAATAAACATTTACATTTCATCACGCGAAAGGATCAAACAACAACAGATGGAACTTGAGGACATAAAATTACAGGTCAATTTATTTCTTAAAATATTGTAGGTATAGCTTCAAATTGTTAAGATAAATTATTAAAACATATTTACAGATTCAAATAGTAAATACTGTGAAAATAACACTACGCTGTTCTGAATTTGCCGAACGAGAGCAGTTATTAAAGCAGAGAGTTGAGGAATTTCATAAAGTTAGAGCACGAGTTCGAGAAATAATTGCAGTAAACGAAGAACTAAGAAATGTCATTAACAGTAACCCATCTGATGAAGAAAATCTTAACTCCAACCATGTATCTGAAGAAGGTAGTAACCGATTGCAGCTTAGTGTAACGCAATAATAACTTAAGTTCAGTAATAATATTTTTGTTTGCTTTCTAATATTATATGTACTTGTAAAAAACATTTATCAAAAAGACAAGATTAAATCAATTAAAATATTCCAGAATACAAGCTAATTGTGGAATTACTAAAAGAACTAAAGTATGACCAGCCAGTGAGACATGAGACAGAAAAGAATAACTGCTGCCAAAATTCTGGCGAACCGGTAAATATTGAAACTGGCGGATACGCTACAGCAAGTGAGGCCGGCGAACCAGCACATTTCGAGGAAAACGAGTACGCTTCAGCTAGCGGCACTGACAACAAACATGACTATAACATCAAAATAGCCAAAGTTACTATAGTTTACAGAGTTGCTTATCTTCGCCACTACATTAAACTAAGAAAAGGAAAATCAAAATTAAGAAAAAGGGTAAGTAAAAGTAAATACGTGCTATATTAAAACGTACAATATATTTATAGCTAATATAGTTATAATGAAATAAAATTGTTTCAGATGAATAACATCAAAAAATTATTACATGATTGGCAGAAAACATTGAACATGGTCATTAACAGTAATAGACTGTCGATGTTAAACTTTGATATGCATCATAATATGGAAATCGCACCACAAGAAGCTGTGGAAGAATTCTCTAAATCCAATCTCCACAATTTGTCAGATTCTGACAGTGATTTTAGAAATAGTGCTGATGACGACTACAACATGAGTTGGATACAAAATCACCAATATAGACCATTTTACGATTACGATGTAAGTTAATAAAAAGTAATAAAATACGCCTAGTATGTGAGGTTTTCAAATAAGGAGCTTTGACAAGTTCACTCGCGCGTTGTTCATCTATACATATAATAAAATTGTAACTAAGCCGAATCTGTACATTAAATAATTTTTAGAAAATATTATTGAAATACACATTATAATCGAAACAGAAGCCGAATCTAAAGTTTTTAGAATTTTTGTCTGTCTATCTGTCTGTCTGTTACCGCATCACAGAAAAACCCCTGGAGGGATTTTGATGAAATTTGGTATGGTGATAGCTGGTTATCCGAGTCAACATATACATATACATAGGATACTTTTTACCGCAGGAAAATATCTCATTTCTGAGACAAAATACAAAAACTGCAATGTAAGAGTATACTAATATGTAAAACCTAAGAATTTGGTTTTTGATCATCTGAACGCGGGCGGAACCGCGGGCAATGCTAGTTATACATATATTCCTGGCCTCTCAGTAATAATTAGGTCGGCGTAATGTAATTGTTTGCCTCCAAACATATTTGTTCTAGAATTTTACAGCATGATATGAATTATTATTATGTTTCAGAATTTTAACCTGGATACTGCAGTTGCAAGAAAATGTACAGATCTAGACGATTGTTACGACCTGTACAACAGTGAAAAACAAAAATGTCAGTGCAAAAGAGCGATCGGTGGTTTATTTATGGTGCTAGAAGAAACTAGAAGCCAGGTGGAAATAGAAAAAATCAGAAGTGACGACTGATTGATATATTGTCTTATATTGGTTGTTATATTCATAGTGAAATACTTCTTTATATTATATTCTTCTTTATATTCTTCTTTTTTCTAGGTAGACAATAAAAAATCATTTAAAATATCGATTTTATTGTATTTATCGTTTTTAACCAATTATCACATCAATTTAAATTTTATGTCACAACAAGATTAAAAAAATTGGGATATCATTTTTTAAAAACAAAGGTGAAATAGGTTCTTAATGTAAAGGTGTAAGAACAAAGCAATCCTAGATTTACGAAGCGGAAATTACGGAGTAGAGGAAGTTGTATACACTATACAAAATACATTAATGAATAGCTTATGTACATACATATATACTAACATTGAAGCATTTATTAAATGGTTTTAAAATTGTTTTAAAGAGGTAATGAGATTGAGTGGTATGTATGTATATAATTAAGAAGTACATAGATAGATGGCGCTATACTATTTATATATTACTCAAGTAACACATCAAAAACAGCGAATAATAAAAAAGATGGAGGAAGCATTTTAAGTACTATACGTTAACAAACAAGACGGTGCGTGATTCATGATGATTAGTTCGCTATCGTCATTGGTTTCCTATTCAAGTCGTCAACAGGTGTGCAATTTGCATATAAGGCTTTGTTTCTACACCTAGGAAATACATGAATTCCAAAAAATCAGCACGAAATTATGATTTAAATTCTTTAAATGTGTTGTCAACAGTCGCCAATTAACTTATTGACATCAAAAAAGATCAGTCGACAATAAATGTAGCTATTTTGAATATTTAAAATATATTAACTCACTCCAAACAAAAACATTGTAATAAACCCCGTAAGCCGAGCTTCATTGTGAGCCTGCATTTATGTAAATTGGGTAAATATTAATTACGACAGAATATTATACTATCGGCAACAATTCAATCAGTTGGTTAGATCGATCCATGTAATAACATGTGTCATATTCGATATCAACCGCATGTTGACGTAATACCGGTTATACAAAATAAGCCGTTCATTTTGGTTGAAATTGAGTACAACAAAACCCCGAGTTCACATACACGGAAAATAATAATAACTTCGATACAACATTTTTATTCACGTATTAAAAATTGAAGCCTACAATGGTACGGCTACATCATACATGTTATAAACATACATCAATAACTGCGTTCAACTTGGCTGATAAATAATTCAGCCGTTTTAGCATCCCTCTGGTTCGGCGGGCGGATCTCCTTCGTACGAGGGAAATGAGTTCATAATTCGCAAGTCTGGCCAATTGCGGGTAGACAGGTTTTACACCTCTTTCGAAAACTAATTACGTTATCTCAAACAAGCAACATGCTTACATTTTTAACCGTATTAGCAAATGGTAAACATATTGAAAAAGATCCCGCATATGAAAATTCCAGACTTGCGAGAGACCCAAATGGGTTTTTCAAGCGAACGTGTTATTAAAATGCCTGCCACTAATATCACGTTTAATGAAATTCTATATTCAATGCTAATTAACATTACTGCTAATTATATATTAAAATATAGGTCAGACTTCCTACCTATGAGAGTGAGCGTTCAATTGACAACTGTTGTCAATAATTAAGCTTGCAGGATTAGATTACTTGTAGCAATAATTAAGTAACTAAACTGAGACAAGGAACACGTGCGCTACAATATAGAGGAGAAAGCTCTACATTTGTAGCGCACATCTAATCTATACATATAATAAAATTGTAACTAAGCCGAATCTGTACATTAAATATTTTTTTGAAAAACCTTATTGAAATATACATTATTATCGATAAGGAGGCCGAATCTATAGTTTTTAGAATTTATGTCTGTCTGTCTGTTACCGCATCACAGAAAATCCACCGGAGGGATTTTGATGAAATTTGGTATAATGATAGCTGGTTATCCGGGTCAACATATAGGATACTTTTTACCGCGGGAAAATATCTAATTTCTGAGAAAAATACAAAAACTGCATCGTAAGAGTATACTAATATGAAAAACCTAAGAATTTGGTTTTTGATCATCTGAACGCGGGCGGAGCCGCGGGCAATGCTAGTATTATAGTAGTATATAGTAAAGTCTGAATTAAGCAGATAGATCCTAAAATAATATAAAGCTAAAATACTATGAACATTATTGGCTACCGTTATCCGTTAAAATATGTGTAAAAGAATTTTTATAGTATTCAATATACTGTATCCAATACGGTCACTGATTGATATTTATTATACTTGTATGAGATGAGATATTTATTTAAAAGAATATCCAATTTTATGCCTCAAGTTCTATGAAATAGAAGTATAATTAAATGCGTTTTATATGAAAGAACATAAGCCAGTCTGTTCAACTGTTTGGAATGAAAATTGTTATAGCACTCATAACTGTTTTTTTTTAATTAAAGTTTGTAGCATTTATAAAAAAAATCCCATTAAAATCTTCTTTAACATAATGTATTCTAACGTAATAAGTGTGCAAACAGACGAAAAATTAAATTGAATCCGATTTCAGATCTCGTTTATTTTTTTAACGATTAAAAAGTCAATGTACAGTTTTGGCCCGCCAGAATTTAACACTTAAATGAAAAATTTAAAATATAAGCATCCCGGTGTCTCTTAAAGCGACACGTTTCCGAGATGTTTGAAAGTAATTGTCGTCATATTATGAAAATGATAATAATTATTAAATATGAAGTAGTTACGTGTTATAAACGATCTTTACTACAAAATATCTTGCAAACGTAACAGCATAGAATACCACATTGTTAATTTTATTTGTCTGATAAATTGTTTTCTATCCATTCATACCAGTTTAGTCGTGCGCTGCTACAAAAAAAATGGTTGCAGATGCTAATGCCAGCTTCCATAAAAAAAATCCAACTCTATACCACACCACGGGTACGATTGACAACTAGAAGATGAGATCGCCTAACATAAAGCTGAAAAGTCACTTTAATAGAAAGAAAGTCCTTATTTTTTTAGAAATTATGTATGTATACCTAACAGAGTGACATGGTCGTTTTAACGACAAAGCTCTTAAATTAAAAAAAGTCCTTATCGTCAAACCACGCGAAATGGAACCTTAAAATGAATACAAATAGAAACTAAAATAGCTTACTGACCTGCATTTGCACGGACTGGCAGTTGACAAACTCCACGCTGGACACCAGGTTGTCGAAGACCACGGCGCACTTGGTGCAGGAGTCGAGCACCACGCCGTTGATCTTCCCGCGCACGGTGAGCGCCGAGTCGCGGCAGCGGAACATGTACACTACGTTGTTCATCTCCGCGTTTTCTACCACCAGGTTCGAATTGCCTTTTTGATATTCCTGGAAATTTGTTTCTCGTTGAAACTAGTCTGTTTATTTATAGTTAGATAGAGTTCTCTTAGAATAGTGTTTTAAAAGGATTTTTATGCAGTCTCTATCCATCTGTCGCCTGTCCTGCCTATAAAGAATTTAGGTGTTGATAATTTAAATTTTCGCAGAATATGAGTCAAAAAAGCAAATTTCCTACCAAGAAAAAAAATAATAGAAATAAAAAATAAAAATATGGGGTTATCGTACAACAAATGTGCACATTGATAAAATCTAACAAGTATTAAATTATAGTGCTAATTACTTTCAGCATGCACTACAGAGTACAGATATTCTTAACGGTATATTGTATAAACAACGCAAATAACAAGATAACTTAAATCACTACGCCTTTTGTTTTATTTTTATTTTAAATTATTATTTTTTTAATAAAAAATAATTATTTCGACGTTTGATTGACACATTGTAAATTTATTTACTACTGGCAACAAACGCTATAAAAATATAAAAATAAACTATCAAGTTATATAGTATAGTTATAAGCATAGTTTAGCAAATGGGAAATTCGACTTTGGAATATTTATGATTCAACGCTTCGCAAGTCCTTTTAGCAAACTTAGGAAAGCATGTAAGAAATTGCCTGGGGAGTTTGGCTCAACGTATGAACGCTCTTTATAAATCATGCTTACAGACCCTCGTCTACACACTAGATAGTTGTTTGTGGAACGAAACTTTGTAAAAACGACGCTGACAATAAATAATAAATATCCTTTTTAACTATACTTTGTGCAAACTTCTACCTATTTTCGAAAATAATATTGAAAAAAAAAACAAATGTGAACGAACGAAAATTAATCGAATTCTTGAAAAATACAGTTTTTCATTGGATTACCTACAAAAATTCGATAAATATTAATGATATTCACATGAGGGGTGAGTAGACAAGCTCCGACACGAGTCACATAACCGAATTACATATCTCGAAACGTTGCCGCTTTAAGAACTTCTGAACATTACAACGGAAGCGGAAAAATCGCAGATATTCACGTTTTTGCTATTCCAATACATTAATTATTAAGCAATTTTAATGCGAGAGAGCTCGCAATTATTTATTAATGTGAGTTTTATAATAAAAATGTTGACTAAAGTGTAAAACAATTTTCACCCTACACACTATAAAAAATGTTTTTAGAACCTTTTTAGTAAAAAGCTCAATATTTATACTGTGACCTAAAAAGAAATTATTTTATAAAAATGAGGCACTTCGGTTATTTTATGTAGGTTACATACGATATACGTATAAGGCAACACGTACCAGTTCGCTGGCAGACGGCTAAAATGTGCCGTCTTACAAGAAAGACCTTTTACTATCGCAAAAGGCATATAACCTTTTAGACGACATTTTGTAAAACTATATTAGAGGTCAAAAGTTATACATATGAAAAACCCGTCGTTTCCTGATAATTTTGTTTTAAATATTTTTTGAAATTATACCTACTTCTTTTGGCATGTTTGGAAAAAAATATGAGAGTACAATTATACGAGCGAGCCAAAAAGCGACATGATGAAGATAGCTGCATTCCTTTTACAAATAGAGATTTGTGGCATACGGGATGAAATCTTTAGCTATTATATATATATATATATATATATATATATATATATATATATATATATATATATATATATATATGTATATATTTAAATAATAGTTACTTGACATTGATTTAGTCAGTAGCTATCCCATACAATATACTTAGGTTTTTTAAATAGTACGTACTATGTAGTTACGTGTTAGCTAATTTTTAATATAACTTTATTAGAAATAAATTATACCTTTGAACCGCTTCATTTATGTCAAAAAACCCTAAAAATATTGTAATATCTGATAAAATACGATACGCCGGAGAAGCCAAAACACATTTACCCGTAGGCGTGCAGCGGCTCATTGTGACGTATGGTGTTCTATAAATAATAATTAAACCTTCAAATTGAAAACGCTGAGGCTCTAATGTTTTTCAAAATCTAATTTAACAAGCGACTAATGAATTTTACATTTTTATATAATTATGATTAGAATATAAAGAAGGCAATATATATTAAATACACTTTTTACTATAACGTTAGATATACATTATACATACATAATATTATATGTTTTGACGCCGAGGTTTATATGTTTTATAGCAATTTACCAACAATAATATCGTAAACTTTATAAGTACATACTATATTTTATAAATCTATACATATAATAAAATTCTTAGTCGAATCTGTATATAAAATATTTTTTGGAAAATCTTATTGAAATAGTCATATTTTATCGATACAGAGGCCGAATCTATAGTTTTTTGAATTTTTTTATGTGCTGGCAATGCATTACGAGAAAACCATTGGACAGATTTTTATAAAATTTGGATGATAGCTGGTTTTCGGGTCAGTATATAGGATACTTTTTACTGCGAGAAAATATCTCATCTCTGAGAAATCTAAAATAAATTTATTTTTATTACAATATAAAAAAAAACAATATTACCAAACCATTCTTATACCAATATTAACTACTATAAGACTTACAATGATCCATTTCTTGCCATCTCGAGCAAAGACTGGAGGTTTGTCGGGTAGGACTCCAGCCCCGGGCGTCGGTAGAGCTTTAGTAGGCACCTTCGGAGCAGCGGCTTTAAACGGCGCAGGTCCCTGACGGAGTTGAGGGTTCTTGTGGGTCTGCATGTCCGACGTTACTTTACGGAGACCTGATAAAATAGAAAGCAAAAAATAATTTTCTAGATACACCTACCTAGATTATTTTTATTGCAAATATGCTCTGGGAAATAACTACTTGATGTAAGGAAAAATAGAAAACTAACGAACACACTTTCGCATGTATAATATTTGTAGGGTAGAATTTCAAAAAAAATCTTATATTATTTAAGTTAAAAAAAATTACAAAATATATTATTATTGAATAAAGATAAAGCTTTTATAATCACTTGCCTTTTAAAATAATTTATATAACTGCTGGATAGACCCAAGTTATACATTTTATACACACTACAAAGCTCGCTGACACAAAGGTAGCCTAGCGATGAAAAGAATAGTAAGCAAAATCTCCGTGCAAAGCAGAACATATTTTTATCATTTCTTCTATGTAACTCTTTAATGGATGAATTTTGTAGCAAATTCGAGGGCACATTATTAATTCAACGAATTGAAGTAATTATCTACTTATACATTGAAACCAAACACAACAATAAACGGAACAGAATTGTTTGGAGTGACCCATTCACAACAGAAGAGGATTGTATCTGTGGCTTCGTTAGCTTTCATGTTGGAAATAATAAAAAATGCTAGTTATGAAACGAACCAAAGTCGCATTGTAATCGCAATTTGTTAATAGATTTTTTATTTGGATATTCTATTGTAACATTCTCTAAATATTTTATAGAAATATATTGTAAATTTAGTAAGATTAAGAAAACTTTATAGATAAATTAAGCCTCGATGTCTATGATGTTATTGGGTACAAACCCAGGCTTCAGGCTATATTAAGATACTTAGCCTTAGTGTACTAGCAATATGGGTGAAGGAGACATCGAATCCAAAACCTCTAATGAGAAGAAAAATGTAAGCTTTAGAAAAAAAAATACATATGTGCATATAGAGAAGTGCAAGAAAATTGTAATTTACAACGTGAAATTCGCTGTTAACGCTTTAGATCTAAAGGCGGAACGCTAAGACTATTCACTACGCTGTACGTTCTATCATGTCATAGAGAAATAGAAGAACTAGTCTACGTTATAAATTTCGATTACGTTTCTTTAAATAAACATTTCCTAACAGTTCGTAGAAAAAGCAAAACATTAAAAAAATAAGTACAGAACACACAGCTCTCAAGTATAATTCGCGCTTAACTAAATATTTCCTTACATGAAGAAAATTACATTTTCACATAAAAATAACCTATTTTCTCTATATTTTAAATAAACTGTTTTTATTATCTGAACATACACCAATACAAGAAAATTGCGCTTACTACTAGTTATAGCTTCTCCCTTATTAATCTCAGCGAAGAGTGCGCTCCGGTCATCGGCGGGCATGTTGGCGAAGTCCACGTCGGGAAGAGCGGGTGGTGGTGGGGGCATGCCGCCGGGGGGTGGTGGTGGTGGTGGGGCTCCACCCTTACCTGAGAACACCATCAACTGTGGTACTGGCACACTTATATTGTCATCCTAATCTTATTTCCAGTCTCACTAAAGCTAACGCACAAGAAATTATAGTGTAAAAACTTGTAGGTCAGACGCAGGACCCTCGTGTTCACATTTTTTATGAGGCTCGGAGGTGTTATAACCTCACTCCAATTCGGAATTACTAACAAATAACCTAATGGCTGTATTTGGCCTGACCCGGGACTTGAACCCAAGACTTCATGGTCTGCAGCCGTACTATAAGCAACATATTTCGTATATAAGCATGCACTTTGTAAGTGTGCAAACTTAAACTCAAAATATACCTATATGTATGTATGCAGTTACGTTTGGATGATACTAAAATTAATATGGATAACAAGCTGTATGAATTTTTAATGGGAACGTTTACCTTTTTGAATACATTAACTTAAAAATTAAACCGGAAGCTATATTCTTGTGCGTGTACATTTTTCAAGAAAAAACACAGTTAAACCTTTCAAATGAATTGCACCATATACTATAAAAATAAATATTAAGAATCTATATAAATAAAAAGGAATGGTTAAATTTGTTACTAAGCTCAAAACTCGAGAACGGTTGGACTAATTTGGCAATTTTTTTTAAATAATAAATATTATTAAATATATTAATTTCAAATTATGCTACTTGAATGCTTTTGTAAATTTGACACTTTCTTTTTCTACGATATGTAGTTTGACTTTGTTTATTTGTTAATCCTTCTTTTACGTCAAAACACAGTGAATGATAGGCGTGGAGATAGTTGAAGGCCTGGAGAGTACATAGGCTACTTTTTAGCGCGGCAGATTATTTCATTCCCAAAGGAGAACACGTTATAATACAACCCACAACCACTCCTATGTATATATATATATATATATATATCTATATATATATATATATATATATATATATATAATATACTATATAATATATATGCAGTCTATCTATTCCATAGTAACTGTCAAAACGTACCTAAATAGTGCACGATATTTTTATATATAAACTAGTGTTTACAATAAAAATATCATGCACTTTGTAGAGGCAACAACAGTTGTGTACATATTATTTAATCTGCATTGATGCTATTATTCATTAAGTGTGCAACACAGTATTGAGATCTTAAAAAAAAAACAAATTAACTTCTATTATATTTAAAATATATAAAATTATTAATTTAAAGACCAAATCCGAAGCTGGTACAATAATGAGTAATGTGTTACAATTTTGTTCCTTGCAGGTGTTGAAATAAAGTGTCCGGATAAACATAACTACTATATAACTGCGAAAACAATAATAATAATATGTGTTTTGCTACTTTTACATATACTTATACATCTGTATATAATTTGTGAATTTTAATAATATACAACTAAGAATGTCGTGTAAAAAAATCTATTGTTGTTTTTCAACTTTACATTTTCACAACATCGAAAAGGGAACAACAGAGAGAATTAATATGGCAAAGAACAAAAACTGTGTGTACAGTCAATATTGGATAAAGTCCGAATAATATCAAGCAAACTTAGACCAATCCTTTTTAGAAGTATCCAATAACGATATTGATTCCTTGTTTTTGGGACAAATACATTTAGTAGCAATTTAGATATGCTAAAATAAAAGGGATTAATGGCACACACATTGTTATATGTTTTCTTCGTATAAGATTTTTTTCGCTTATGTATATACATATACATAATATACATATAATAAAATTGTAACTAAGTCGAATCTGTACATTAGATATTTTTTGCAAAATCTTATTGAAATAGACATTATTATCGATACAGAGGCCTAATCTATCGTTTTTAGAATTTTTGTCTGTCCGTCTGTCTGTCTGTTACCGCATCACAGAAAAACCACTGGAGGGATTTTGATGAAACTTGGTATGGTGATAGCTGGTTATCCGGGTCAACATATAGGATACTTTATACCGCGGGAAAATATCTCATTTCTGAGAAAAAATACAAATACTGCAATGTAAGAGTATACTAATATGTAAAACCTAAGAGTTTGGTTTTTGCTCCTCTGAACGTGGACGGAGCCGCGGGCAGCGCTAGTTGTATTATAAGATTATTTAAGATAAATAATAATTATTATATGTAATATATATGCCTTTAATATATAATTTATATTTTTCATTACTAATTCTGTATGTTGAATCAACGTATTTATTACCCAGAATAATAAAACCAACGACGTACACATAATAAAGTATGTTAGTATTATATTGAAAGCTGCCTGGTAATTTTATAATACACAACACAAAAGGTAGCTAAAGTTAATTAAAAAGTTATAGGTCCTGAGTATGAAATAACCCATTTTTTTCAAGGTTAGTTCTTTATGGCCACGGCGCGAGTATAATAAGTACTAACTTAATATTACCTAACTGTGACCTACTTTTAGTAGGTACGTAAAAATATTAATAATGTAAGCAATTTTAAATCAATAAAAGCACTGCCTTAACTTCAACGAAAGAAGCGTTAGACAATTATCTTAAAAATATTACATACTTTACATGTATTACAAGCGACTCACCCTCGATTCGCTCGGGTTCGTCCTTGGGTTGCCTCCCCATACAAACTTTCATCCCCATTCCCCCCTTAAATGATGGTTTCCGGGATAAAACTATCCTGTGGTCTTCGCAAGGTCTCAAACTATGTTCTTACCAAATTACATCAAAATCGGTTCGGTAGATTTAGAGCTTATTCGGTACAAACAAACGAACAAACAAATCTTTCCTCTATAAAATATCAGTATAGATGTATAATATAGTATATTGCATATTGCAAAAGAAAAAAAAATTCTTTGTCTTATTTGCGTTCCATTTAATATTATGTTCATCATATAGGTTTATTATTATATCCATTAACATGTAATAAGTGAGTACTGACGCGCTAAATGTTTGGGATAATACAATACAATCCCTAATTAATAGTATACAATGTACTATAGAGCAGCATTATTATGTTCTTATAGGCAACACCGTCGTCTAATTATAATTAAAATAATTATTATTAATATATTGTATATACCGAAAAGAACAGAACAACGTTTTTCGGGCCAGCTAGTGTACAAGAAGTAATCAGTGTTAATTTAGATATAGGCAGTGCAAAGAAGGTCGCAGTTCTAGCACGTGGGTAATACATACTGTACTATAATATAATATAAATGTGTTGGTAAAAGCACGATATTATATCGAAACGCTGCAAATAAATGTGAATATGTAGGAATTGAAAGACTTACCAGACCAAACCAAGCCTGTAGTGTGATACTGCTTCACATACGCTTGCAAATCGGATAGCAACTGTACCCAAGCGCGGCACCATTCAACATGAGTCTTGTTCTTCTCCTTCCATTCCTTTAAAACACGGTTGGTGTAAAATTGGCCCGCATCGTTCATCTCCTTTACATACGGAGCTGGTGTGGGAGACACGGCCACCCATCCCAAGGCTGGGATACTCTCAGATATAGCCGAAAGATGGTTGAAGAAAGGAGATGCTCTATTTTTTTCGCGATATTGTTGGATTGATGAGATCTTATCGCTTGTCGGTGCTAAGAGTTGGACCTCTTCAGCCTGCGATGGCTTAGACCGCGATGTCGCTAGCTGAATGTAGCGTAACTGTTCCCTATAGTGAAAAAATATATGTAAACAACCATAAACTAGTATTGTCATAATTTCAAAATATATTTTTTCTTAAATAAATATTTAAAAAATTAACAATTTATTTCATGAAAACATCTAAGTTGAGTGTTTTTTTATCAAACAGCGTAATTTCTTATGGCTGGGTATTTTTTAATATTTAAATCAAAATGTAGAAAAAAATACGAGTATCTTACTGAAAAGCATCATTAACGAGGTTGGCATGCGTGGCAATGTCGCCGCCGAGTTGCTTCGACAACTGAAGATAAGTCAGCAGAGGACCCTAAAACAACACAAATATTAAGTCTTTTAGTACTCTGTAACAAATAAACAAATAAATTAAAAATTATATGACAATTTGTTGTATAAAAAATAACAACCGCTAAATACTAGACATACATAACAAAGTGTACTTCAAAAATTTGTTCAATGTAATAAGTAGAAACTTCTAACAAAACTTTAGCTATTGCTGTAGAAAATTACAATATTTGGTCTCTTGAAAGCTCATCTCATAAAAAGCGCTTTGCTATGATGTAAAAAATATTAAACGGTAAAAGTATAAATGACAGCTATTTCACATACGATGCTATAAATATTGATGGCAGTAAAATGTAAATAAATTATCAATATATGTGTTTTCCTCGTTTTTGGAGCATTCTCTAACTGTTAGTTTAAAGTTGAATGACCTGCACTTTACAAAAAGGTCATCTTGCTCTTTCTCATATCATTTATATTAAGATAAAAGAATTCATTCTGAGAATGCATATAATAAAACCGAGAGTGTAAAGCTAACATGTGTCGAATATGTTAAGATTATTTACCTTTTATAGACAGCGGTTCTCGCACTTTACGAATATATAACATGATTATGAAAGCTCGTGATATTCAATATTATCCACACTTGATACAAACATCGAGCTGTATGATTAATGACCTATCCTACCATTTATCATATTATGGAATCAAACGGGTAGTTAGAATAAATACAACACTACCATGTAAAAATATAAGAAAATTGTTATAAATACATAGATTTAATCTATAAAATATATATGTAGAGTATGAACAATTATTGATGTGATGATGTTCTCCTAGCCGATTCCGGCCGCGGCGGCCAATCTCAATGAGATTAGCCAACTGCGCAGGAGATATTATAGTGCTCAAGTGTACGCGCAGACACAAGTGCACTCTCTATTCCTATCACTCTTATACTCCGGTGGGACGACCACTCGACACGACCGGTGAGAGTTAAGGCGCAGGACCGACGGCTTTACGTGCTCTCCGAGGCACGGGGGTTAAACACCGCCAACTTCCCAACTCCGGGCTGTTACTGAGACTTACTATACAGGAAGACTCAATAACTAAACTTGGCCCGACCCGGGACTCGAACCCAGGACCTCCGGGTGTGCAGCCGTACATGCTAGCCACTACACCACCGTGGCAGTTACATTATTATACTTACATTCGTTGTAAAACTGGCACCTATTTATCTGAGTAAACGAGCTCTATATGCTCTATGTTATAATTAATAATTTGGAAATGGTATTAAGTATCGGTAAAAAATATCAATTTATGCTTCGGGCTGTAGTATCTAGTTAGTTACATAGAACGTTGACAAATTGTAGTCGTACAAACAAGGGCGGTCATTGTTAATCGAAATTGATTAAGTTTGATACTTCCTGCGCGCAAACAAGAGCCTCACTGCGATACTTTCCATTATTTATTATTATTTCTCTTTAACCTTTATCGTTACACATAAATAATGTCATTTGTACCTTGTTATGTTATAGGTACTATCTACACCGCCTACTATACTATACTACAGCCGATGCAAAGCAAATCTAATATATTTCAATACGTAAAATACAAAATATTTACCTATTAAATATTCATATCGTAAAATATTGTAGGCTGGCATCGACTTCGAAAGTATCTGATTAGGTATCTATTCTAAATGAAAACCTCCGTTTAGTTATTTTTTACATTTTAGTGCCTGGAAGTCTGTTCTTATTTTTTTTTTAAGTTTTTATTTTTCCATTTTTAGTGTACACGTTATGAGCAGGTAATTTGTAAGAAGAATTTTTTTTAATAATATATTCGATTAAACAATTTATTAAAAAAATAATTTATTGTTTATTTTTTAAAAACCGCTCGACCGATTTCGATAAAATTTATATGGGACCACCTGGAAAGTATACCCTTTAAAACAAAAAAAATCCAAATCGGTTCAGGCGTCTTCGAGTAATCGGTGAACATACATAAAAAAAAAGATTCCGACGAATTGAGAACCTCCTCCTTTTTAGAAGTCGGTTAAAAAAGGCACGTATTATACTTTATCCAAATATATTTGATGTTTTCTTCCACGCTCATAATTTAATTTTTGCTATTAAAGTACATTTAACACGTTATTAATCACCTTGTGATATCTATCAGCTTACAATGACGTTACGTCTCACATGACGCTACTTACGCTAACAAGTGTTTGAAATCGATGCTTTATTAACAAACAACATTAAAATATTTTATTTTTGATATATATCATACGATTTCATATATAGTTCATGCCCTTTCATATCGTAAACTTGTAAAATTATTTAAACTTTAAAGGGATAATTATTGCGAGTTATTTTTTAACATATTTCCGAATAAAGTTAGAATTTTCCCTCTTTATCATTCATTACATCTCTTATAATTACATTTTTCATATTTTCGAAAGTCAAATGTATAAAGACGTAACGAAGCATTACAACAACTACTCCTTACAGACTTCATGTTATATATTACGTAACCCATCTAACCTGCACTAAGTCCTGGTATCCGTTGATACTCATATCGTCAGTTTCTATAAAACTTGCAATTAGTGGTGTTTGTATGGCGTCACCGGCAGGGGAAGGTGCCAGAGAGCAAGGCGGGGTAGGGGTGCGCTCGCGCAGAACGGGCAAGCGCTCTAAGCGTGACGTCACGCGCTCCAGCCGCTCGATGAGGGCCTCGAGATCAGCAGCCGAGCTATGACCTGCAGCTGTTTGCTCAATTTCACTGCCTGATAACAAAATATAATATGTTAAACATCTGTTATACTCGTTTATATATAAGTACCTACATATGTCATAATAATATATTTAATATTATTATTATAAAACGCATTATCGCATTATCATTTTAAATAAAACTGTCTTTTCAGATTGATTGCTGTAAAGCTTTCGAAACGTCTCGGAAACCAAAAATCAAAGAAAATCCGCGAAAAGTCCGAAAAGATAGTTAGTTTTATTTAAAATGCCAAATAATAGCATAAATCTAAAAAAGTATTAGGCATTAATATGTTGGCTGACGTGATAAAGATTACAGCGGGTTTTTTTTATTTAAATTTTATACCTAACTAATTATGTTTATACGGATAATGAATCTCATGTCCTATTCTATCACGGAAAAGAAAAGATTTCTATCAGTACAGGAATAAAACTTATATATAGACAGATATGACATGTTTACGTACATTGTCATGATTATTCAAAGAAATATAAGACAAAATTTTTATCTATATTATAATTTATAATACCTATAAAAACTTTTTAACACAAAAATAAAAACCGACTTCAAACAAAAGCACTAAAAAGTAAAAAATAACTGATTGGTAGTTTTCATTTACTATACATACCTAATCAAATATTTTCGAAGTCGGTGTGCTTTGCTTTATATGGGCTGGCACCGATTTCGAAAATATTTGATTAGGTATGTATTTAATAGGTAGACTTTAATTACTTAGTCAAAGCACACCGACTTCGAAAATATTTGATTAGGTATGTATAGTAAATGAAAACTACCAATCAGTTATTTTTTACTTTTTAGTGCTTTTGTTTGAAGTCGGTTTTTATTTTTTTGTTAAAAAGTTTTTATTTTTCCCTTTTTAGTGTAGACAGTAGTAGCAAAGTAAGAATTCTAACGTATTAGGCTTGTCAAATCAAACAAAACAAACCCAAACTCAAAGTATCTACTATTAGCCGTTGAAGAGTTCCACCTATCCACCTTCTGGCCTTACTATCAGATCAGGTCAACAATACCGAACCACTGTACTATCAACGGAAATAGAAACACTTGCAAAGTTTCAAGTCAATATGACAATTAGAAGTAGGTTAAATTCATCATTAGCTATTTTTCCACCTTTAGGGGTGGTATTTTTTTTTTAAATTTAAATGGGACCAATCTGGAAGTATACTCTTTCAAACGACACAAAAATTGTCCAAATCGGTTAATAAATGACGGACTTCTGAGGTAACAAACATAAAAAATAAAAAATAAAAAAAAAAATAAAAAAAAAATACAGTCGAATTGAGAACCTCCTCCTTTTTGAAGTCGGTTGATAAAACAAGAGTCCTTTCAAACTGTTTAAACACACTCAGTGTCACTCAAGCGGCTCAAAAATTTTAACGTAATTTTCCTCAATAGTCCTCAATAGTCCTCAATAACATGATAACATTAATTAATTAATAGTAAGTATAATAATTATCGGTCAAATAAAAACATAATTTAACATATTATGGAATATTTACGAGTATATTCATAATCTATACATAGGTATAATAAAATTCTAACGAAGTTGAATCTATACATCAAATATTTTTTGGTAAATCTTATTGATATAGACTCTATTATATACAGAAGCCGAATCTATAGTTTTTAGAATTTTCGTCTGTCTGTCTGTCTGTTACCGCATCGGGAAAACCACTGGATAAATTTTGATGAAATATGGTATGATGATAGCTGGTTGTTCAGATCAACATATAGGATACTTTTTACTGCGGAAAAATATCTAATTTCTGAGAAAAAGTACAAAAACTGCAATGTAAGAGTATACTAATATGTAAAACCTAAGAATTTGGTTTTTGGTAATCTGACCGCGGGCGGAGCCGCGGGCAATGCTAGTATTAAAATAAAAATTTATACACTAACATTACTAAAATATAATAAAAATAATTTTACTATTGTTTTACATTGATTCAGTGCAATTTTAATATCCTTATCGAAGGCACATACTCGTACGTAAATATGTTAAAGAAAGCTTCTTAGTTTCGATCCTTGCCAATTCCAAGTTCTTTACTTATTTTTACCCATGTTTTAAAAAAAATATATCTTATCATTGATAATACATTGAAAGGTTTTTTTACCGAATTATTTAATAAAACAATCGATAAAATGAATTAGTAACATAATTCGTAACACTTTAACTACCTTGTAACTCACAATCAGTGTTTTCTTTGTCAGCTTCAAGGAGTACGGCATTGACCGCACCCTCCTCCTCGTCCGGGTTAGTACGAGTTCTATCAAACATCTCTATCAGGTGTCTCATATTTCTAGTACTCTTACCATTATCCATAGCGAATAATAAATTGAAATTTTAGCAAAACAACAAATAAGTATCTCCAAAATACTTTTGTAGGGTTCACACAAAATAATCACTTCGCCACGAATGCAGCGTCAATGGATATTTATTATCAAATGACTAAGTAGTAGCAGATATGGTGCGATAATACTCAGTGCTATTGCTAAAACGTGATAAAGCAAAGGTAAACGAAACGTTACGAAGTAATTCTTAAGAAATTAATGAGACAAACTATGATAATAAGTTATTACCTCATTACAATAATATAATAATCTTAATCACCGCAGTCGAAATAATAAGTTTATTTAAAATCGGTTGAAAATAAGTACATATGTATATTCATAACGTTAAATATAAAATATATGTATCTATACATATGATAAAATTGTAACTAAACCGAATCTATACATTAAATATTTTTTGGAAAATCTTATTGAAATAGACATTATTATCGATACAGAGGTCGAATCTAGTTTTTAATTTTTTTGTCTGTCTGTCTATCTGTCTGTCTGTTACCGCATCACGAGAAAACCACTGGGCAGATTTTGATGAAATTTGGTATGATGATAGCTGGTTGTCCGGGTCAACATATAGGATACTTTTTACCGCGGGAATATATCTCATTTCTGAGAAAAAAATACAAAAACTACAATGTAAGAGTATACAAATATGTATGTTAAACCTAAGTATTTGGTTTTTGATCATCTGAACGCGGGCGGAGCCGCGGGCAATGCTAGTATAATTCTAAATCTGAATTGGCATTATGTCAAGAAATAACGTGTGATTCATTCTTGTTTATATCTAACATTGACTCGGCGTTAAATTCACATAACGCCTAGTAAACAACCTAGAGAATTACAATACTAAAATAAATGATGAAAATATTCAGAAAAAAACAGGTTACTAAAAACATTGTGTGATAAATTATCATATTTCATGTAAATAACAAAAAAGAAAGAAAAATATCGTAATAAAAAAATACCTAGTATCTACCTATCTACCTGGAAATCATTATTCAGATAGTATGGCGGAAGTCGTCGGGAAGCTAATGTCACATCCGGGTAGGTATATATATGTATTTGTATGTAGTATATTAATTATTAAATACTGTATTATCAAATTTTATACATAAATATTAAAAGTAAAAAACATATATATAAATTACTTAAATAAAATCGTTAATCAAGCTGATTCTAAATGACATCCCCTTTTAACGAGAGCTCTTTGTTATCCTCGAAAATATTCAGTTTGTTACTGAACCCATATTAATTATGATACGTAATAAAATCTCTACATTAAATATTTTTTGGAAAATCTTATTGAAATAAACTTTATTATCGATGCAGAGGCCAAATCTATAGTTTTTATAATTTTTGTCTGTCTGTCTGTCTGTCTGTTACCGCATCACGGGAAAATCACTGAATAGATTTTGATGAAATTTGGTATGATGATAGCTGGTTGTCCGGGTCAACATATAGGATACTTTTTATTGCGGGAAAATATCTCATCTCTGAGAAATCTATACTAAATGTTAAAACGTAAGTAGGGACGAACCCGAGCGAAGCGAGGGTGAGTCGCTAGTGTATAGATAAACTTACTTTTCTGATAATATATAACATTTAACTGAATTAATTACCTATCATATTTCTTTGACCATGAGCTATAATTTATTTTACTCGTTATTATTAAATTAAGGAGGAAAGTTCACGGAGGACAATTACTTCTTGCAATCAAATTAATACTCTTGTTACCAACTCATATACCTATTTCTTAGAAGAGAAAATAATAACAATTACAAACTTATTTTAGATATTATAGAGCTCTATTGTAAAATAAGCTTCTATGTACGATAGAGCTCTACAATATCTGAAAGGGTTCCGTACTCACGTTTATTTTCGTGCCATTGCACGGCCAAGGTCGGTATAAAATGACTAAGTACTAACGTCATTACGTAATGCGGGCGTACAACAAACATTATTGATGAATTGTTTAAAGAAAATGCCGATAAAATGATTACGAAACTATTAGAGGACGATCCCAGAGCCCCCAGACGTTCCTTTTTTTTGAAGTAACAAATAACGAATAGATACTCTTATATATGTTTAAGCGGCCCTTTACAGGTAACAGGTAAGAAAGGTAGGAAAAAATATCACTTACTTTTGTTAAATTCGAAGAATTATGGACAAATAAATATTTCATATTGCCAGACCTTTTCCGTGGGCGATAAGTTTCGCCAGACGCTTTAAACCTCATAAAAAAATTATGAAAGTTTTCTTATATTCGAAGTCTTCTATTTTATATATATTACTTAGAGGAATATTTTTGTCTTTAGTAGACAACCAGATCAATACGAAGGCCCAAACATCCCCCCAGACACAATAAAAGTTCTGTTGTAAATTTTGTTACTTCAAAAATAAGTAACATCTGGGGGTCCGGGGGTCTTGGACTATATCTCAATTTGGAGGTATTTATCATATAATTATACTCTTATGTTAACTTAACTTAACTCTTATGTTTTATAAGTGGAGTCTGCGTTACTAAGAGTAACGCAGACTCCACTTATAAAAAAATCTTCGCATGTCTTCGTCGTTAAATAAGTCTTTAAATGAAAACCTCGATGAAAATAACACAAATTGCATAACGTTTAAACGTAGTATTTAATTAAAATTATTAAAATATCTATACATATAATAAAATTGTAACTAAGCCGAATCTGTACATTAAATATTTTTTTGAAAATCTTATTGAAATAGACATACCCATCGATACAGAGGCGGAATCTATAGTTTTTAAAATTTTTGTCTGTCTGTCTGTCTGTCTGTTACCGCATCACGGAAAAACCACTAGAGGGATTTTGATGAAATTTGGTATGAGGATTGAAGGTTATCTTTTTACTGCGGGAAAATATCTCATCTCTGAGAAATCTATACTAAACCTTAAAACGTAAGCAGGAACAAACCCGAGCGGAGCGAGGGTGAGTCGCTAGTTTGATGTAAACTGAAAACACATGATAACCAATTACTGAGGTCAAACTGATTTCAAATTTTGGCCTAACAAGTTTAAAAGTGATATAGTTATAATTAGGCGTGAGACGCCTCACACAATTTGTTCTTAAGTTAGGGCTTAAGCCCTCTTGAACATAAGTGCTTTTATAAAGAAGGCTAAAATCAAAATGGTCCACAGCAGTTGCCAGTAAGCACAAAATTCAGTTTACTTTAGCAAATTTGGAGCTAATATTAAAATAGCTTACAAAACAACGTGCTTCAGTATAAATACAATTGATTATAATATAATCATAAGTATTTAAATTACAAGCTACTAAATTAATATATTTTTTTATTTAGATACATATAATAAAATTGTAACTAAGCCGAATATGTACATTAAATATTTTTTGGAAAATCTTATTGAAATAAACATTATTATCGATACAGAGGCCGAATCTATAGTTTTTAGAATTTTGGTGCGTCTGTCTATCTGTTTGTGTTACCGCATCACAGAAAAACCACTGGAGGAATTTTGATGAAATTTTGTATGGTGATAGCTGATTACCCGGATCAACATATAGGATACTTTTAACCGCGAGAAAATGTCTCATTTCTGAGAAAAAATACAAAAACTGCAATATACGAATATACTAATATGTAAAACCTAGGAATTTGGTTTTTGATCATCTAAACGCGGGCGGAGCCGCGGGCAAAGCTAGTAAATAATAAATATCTATTACTTTGTATTCCATACTTAGAATAAATGCATATTATGTAGATGTACCATTAAGTTAAGAGAGTTAAAAATAGCAATCACATTCTAGTTTCCACAACCATATTTACCACAATACTCAATGGTTATGATCGACCGCAAATGAAGTCGGTTAATAAAACTAATATCAATTACTAGCCGCAATGGTTACGCACTGTACACAAATAAGACAAAATTAATAAGCAAATAATAAATGTCTCTCAGGGTCTCTAAACGCGGTAATAATAATTAAAATATCTATACATATAATAAAATTCTGAGTCAAATCTGTACATTAAATATTTTTTGGAAAATCTTATTGAATTAGACATTATTATCGATACAGAGGCCGAACTTATAGTTTTTAGAATTTTTGTCTGTCTGTCTGTCTGTCTGTTACCGCATCACATCTATATAAAGAATTTCCATGAAAGTTATATCCATACTTCCATAGTAATATGATAAATGTTAAAGTGTGTTTGTTTGTTTGTCCTTCTTTCGTGTGAGTGAAGGATTGGTTTTGATTTGATTGTGATTGATTGATTTTTCGTGTAGATAGTTGGAGGGTTGAAGAGTGACATAGGCGTCTTTTTACAGCGGGAGATTATCTCATTCCTGCGGGAAAACACGTTATAATACAACCCAAAAAATTATTTATCATCCAAACTTGGTATTAATATTCTTCAATACAATTAAATAAATACGCGTTTTAGCATTCTTCGAAATTCATCCCATAAGGGAGTAAGATAGGGGATGAAAGTTTGTATGAAAACTGCCTTTTTAGAGTTAGTTTGTAGTTTTAGCGCGAGCGAAGCCGCGGGTTTTGCTAGTTAGTGTATAAAAATGACTACTTAAATTAGTTCAAATAACTTTTTCTCTAAACATTTTACTATTATTTTTTTAATTTTGGAACGAAATAAGTTGACACTATTTTTATAGCAGGTTTAATATATATAAATAATAATTGATAAATACGAATATATTTTCCGTAATAATTACTAAAACATAAATTTTACTGTAAATTATTGTTTGAAGATATTTTGCAAATTTGAATATTAAAGTTATACATATTAAACAGCTTAAAATAAAAGAGTAGATAAGTAATCGAATATTCAAACGCGCATATTGTGTATTATGAAAATGAAGCTTCCCGCTAAAAGCTCGACAAGTTAATACATTAAAAAGAAATTTTTATGGATAAGTTTTATTTTATATTATGTGTACAATTCGTTAACATGAAAAAAATATATTTATATAAGAAAAAACATTATTTATTATGAAATATTGCATTTATTATATATATTAAAAATGCTTTACCTAAGCATTTTAATTATGTTTATTGCCATATAGACGAAATTTGACCACAGATAATAAGTTACTTAATAATTTACAACAATTATCTATTATTATTATTTAACAACAACACAATTTTCTATACATTTTATTGCTCGTTTTAGACGAAATTAAGTAGATATGGCCTACTTAACAATATAATTAATTCGCCACCACGACATCTGCGCCCATGTGTCCGTTAGCAATGAACCGAAATAAACATCGTATACAGTAAAGCTTGACATATTATTACTCCCCACTTGAGGGCTAACTAACGTGTCATAAAATAATCTTAAAAATACATTTGGTATCTATACATATAATAAAATTGTAACTAAGCCGAAACTGTTTATTAATCATTTTTTGGAAAATCTGATTGAAATAGACATTATTATCAATAGAGGCCGAATCTATAATTTTTAGAATTGTTGTCTGTCTGTCTGTCTGTCTGTTACCGCATCACGAAAAAACCACTGAAGGGATTTTGATGAAATTTGGTATGATGATAGCTGGTTATCCGGGTCAACATATAGGATACTTTTTACCGCGAGAAAATATCTCATTTCTGAGAAAAAATACAAAATCTGCAATGTAAGAGTACATATACTAATATGTAAAACATAATAATTTGGTTTTTGGTCATCTGAAAGCGGGCGGAGCCGCGGACAATGCTAGTAATATATAATATTTAACCTAATAAAACTCAAAGGCTTTGAAACTGGGGTAAAAATAAGTAGAACTATTTAACTCGTTCCACTTGCTTTCTCGACCCTCAAGCACCCAGAGTCGGTACATTTTTAACGACGGGTTTCTTTTCAAAGAACGACGTTGCAACCGCGTTTAAATTATGCAGATCCAACTAAAGTGTGTAAGCTTTAATTTGTTAAATTTTGGTGGTACCACAGAATGTGGTATGTCAATATGACTAAGACAATATTTTATTCGTAATTAATTAAACGTTTATGTAATTTATCCGGTTCTCGTCTCTTTTTACCCGAGTGCGGCGAAACCTAAAGGAGGGTTATGTGTTTGACTTCTATGTTCATATGTATGTATGTCCGATCCTGCTCCCTCGTAATTACTAAACGGCCGATTTTGATGATACATACGTCGTTAGATACGTCTTGGTAACGCAAAAGCTATATTGATTTATTAAAAATCAAAATGGCGGAATTCGCTGAAAATTTGTGCCTTTAAAAAAACTTTCTTCCGAATCTATTAAGGTTTATCAAGGTTTATCAATCGTCCAAAATTTGGTATGGTGATAGCTGGTTATCCGGGTCAATATAGAAGATACTTTTTACCGCGGGAAAATGTCTTATTTCGGAAAAAAAATGCAAAAACTGCAACATAAAAGTATACTAATACGTAAAACCTAAGAATTTGGTTTGTGGTCATATGAACGCGAGCGGAGCAGCGGGCAATGCTAGTTGTTAAATAAAACTCCAAATGTCTAAGTGTCCAAAACTAAAAAACTGTAAATAAAAAAGGAATAAAAATTAAAAAAAAACAATTGCGCAAAAAAGCTAAACTAAAAAGATGGGAACATGTATATACATGTCATACATCCCATCCTTTTAGTTTAGCTATTTTTTACGCAGTCGGTTTTTTTTTATTATTAATTGTTTTATTTATAATAATCGTATCGCTTAGTAAGTGCACAAAAGATATTTTACTGGTGTTTTCATAAAATTTTGTCATGTTATTATGGCATAGTAATTATAATTTATTTCTATGTATAATTAAACTTGTCTATTAGGCTATCATGATAATTGATATACGCTTCATGCTTTAAGTAATTAAATACCCTAACGATTTTCTAATCATTACTAATACCAATTTAATTATATAGTTTATAGAAATATTACAACGACTGGGCAACAATAATAAATATATATCAGTTATTTTATAAAAAAAATAAATTATTTTAGCATCATTTGAGTAGATACTATGAACATTTACATACATCTATTAGAAGTTCGAGAGGCATTTCATCAGCAAGGATTACGATATTATAAAATACTAACGACTCACCCTCGCTTTACTCGGGTTTGTATGTATATACATAATATATATAGTTTTACAATAAAAGGATAGATTTAATAGTTAGTATACCAAGAATATCTTCTATAGAAATATGTATATTTTTTTAAATATAAATACTTACGAGTATAAATTTTAACAAGGTATAAATATAGTAATAAATTATAAGTATATTCAATATGTATTTTAGACAAATATTAAACGTAATTATAACTTATTGTTAGAAATTTCTCTATCTGCCTGAAGGTTTTAGGTTAGCCCTAGAAACCTACTAGATAGATTCATCAAATGGAATTCTTTTATCGTATAGATGATTTCTGAATATGTATAGGCATACTCATTTTAATTGGCCAAGTAGGTCCAAATATAAAGTTTAAGATCTTTTCTTTACACATGTGAAGCTACAGCCAACAAACTAAAACCTAATAAAATCGTTCGCTTCGTTGCAGATATTCGAATATATTATACGATGAACGAAGTTTGTATCTCCGCTCTAGAAACTAAGATAATTTTAAAATAGCACTGCTATTTGTAGTTTAAAATTTCAAGTAATAATTTCTTATTGAATATGTTATAATAACAATTATATTATTATTGTTATGGACTACTACGATGTGTCATCGGAAGCTGACTGTACCAACTGTCTGAATTGGTGTTTCTGTTTTATGGTTTATTACTTAGTTTTGGTAATATAAATTTTAGTGTAAATATTATATTGCTAGTTAAGAGTAGATTTTGTGTAAATATATTAAAAATTACAACACTTACTTTAAATAAATGTTTGATATGATTTCCTTATTATGCACATACACAATACCACGTATTATAAACAAATTAATATTGCACACACTGAGAACATAATATGTATACGTGTAGGCGTGCGCGTACGCCATCCAACACTGATTCCAGCCAGTCCGAGGACGGATGTTACTGTGAATCAGACCAACCGGCTGTTTTGCCGGTCACTCATTCTCTAGAAACTCTACTGGCAAAGGTCGACATCATGGTTGTGAACACGCCTTACCCGCTCTGGTCCACTTAACAACAATGACTCACTTATTACTCTGACGTAGACCATATGGAATATATATGACCCAAAATATGAATAATAATAAAAATAGCTTGGGCAAAAACATCACCAGTTACATACAAAAATTGTAAAGTAATTAAGGTATGTATTTATTTTTACAACTGTTATTAAAATATCATAAAACTTATATACTATGTATTATCTTTTTTTTTTGAGCTACAATGGGCCATAACTGGTCGACGTAGCTAGGGCCGACCTCAGCACCACACCCAATAAAATAAATAATAATTACCTTTTTACTAATCGTGATTTATTCCTGTAAAGCGATTCCGACTAATTAAGTACCAGGTGCAAAGCTAGATGTTACTCACCTAACATTGTTACTTATTACATAGTTAATGAATTCATTTTGCCGTTAGTCTTTATAACTTCCAAATAAAGAACGCTATGCCACATCAACAAACCAACGCTATAAAGTTTGTAATTAACTTGTTTTTTTTTTATTTAAAACCGTATGTTTATGTAAAATTTTGTAAAAATGTACATAGATAACGAAGACTATCTCGTCTTGTCCTCGTCGATGATATCATAATATGCAGCTCAAATATCACACTGTAGGATGAAATTATCTTAGATTTTATATTATCTTTCTTCACTTATCTATGTAGCCTTAACGTTCATGTAAATATACACTTTTAAGAAAATATGTAGTGATAGAAAAAATTACTACTCATACATAGAAATAATCTATACATATAATAAAATTGTAACTAAGCCGAATCTATAGTTTTTAGAATTTTTGTCTGTCTGTCTGTCTGTTACCGCATCACAAAAAAACCACTGGTGGGATTTTGATGAAATTTAGTATGGTGATGGCTGCTTATCCGGGTCAACATATAGGATACTTTTTACCGCGGGAAAATATCTCATTTCTGAGAAAAAATACAAAAACTACAATGTAAGAGTATATTAATATGTAAAACCTAAGAATTTGGTTTTTGGTCATCTGAACGCGGGCGGAGCCGCGGGCAATGCTAGTATAATCTAGTTCTAGTTATAGAGCTTTAGATTTTTTTATTTTTAGAAATGTACGTGCAATATTAATTTCATTTTTTTAAAACGTAGTATACCTTGAGTGACCTTATAAGTGTCATAAAATTGCTTTCAAAGTAATAACATTAGTAATTTTATTGAATGGGTCTACATTGAGTTTAACGACGGAACTATTTTTATTTTCATCTTTATGGTGTTTTTAAAGAGAGCAAGTTTTCTATAAATATCAGCTATTAATAATGTATTTATGTGTTTTAACAATAGTCGCCTTAGTTAAAAAATATACTTTCTAACATTTTTATTTAGAATTTAGAATTTTCATAGATAGTTATATCATAACCTGATAATAATATCATCAGCTATTATAGATATACATATCGTTATTCAGATATTTTTGCTGTTTCAGTTATATCGGAAGCTGGAGTATCTGAGATATGAGAGTGGAGCGCTTACTTGGGCATCAGCCAACCGCATTGATTTTTACCCACCCCAAAACTGTGAGCTTAAATTTTATAAATCGAGGACACTGTCTATTTTTTGACTTAATTACAGGCAAATCATAGATTTATTTTACAGCTACTTAATATTCCAACATAAAACAGATGATTTAAATATAATTGTAAAAATATATGAAATACTATCATAAAAAAATGTTTTTAGCTACAATATCTGTGACTATAGAATATATCCTTACCACCATCAGCAATGACTGGCCCCAGTGGATCAAATCTTACTCTATGTTCAACAGCAGCTCTAGCGGCACATACTAAATCCGAAAAAAACCTATGTCTCCGTAAAGCCAATTCATCACGCCCGACAGGGGTAGCTGGGGGTTCTCTAGGCCCCTCTGTATCACTCAATACCATTTCCCTCTCAAATACTTCATCATCATCCGAACAGGAGTCTTGTTTTATTTTCAGACGGCTATCTCCTATATCCCCACTATCAGACGTCGATTTCAAAATACCCGTTGATTTACGCCTACCTATGCGTACATCCACGTTTGTTCTAGCTAATTCCTTTTCAAGATTTGCAAGCTCCTCTAAAGTAGCAACATTCCTACTACAATCAATAGAGAATCTTTTAAAATCTATCCGGCGTTTCTTATAATCAACTGAAAATCTTTTTTTAGTGAAATCTGCTTTAGCGAATAGGTCATCTGTGCTAGCGTCATCGTCCGTACAGTCATTCGCATCAGAGCTTGTATTTTGCTCTGTACAAATAATATCAGGCACGACAGGGTCATCATGTTTATCTACATCATCTTCCGTTTTAACACTTTCTTTAGGCAAATTACTTGTGCTTTCTTGGTCTTCCTCCTTGACGCAATTTGGATTGCTATTATCTTTAATCTCTAAGTTCTCATTATCTTGCGATGGGTCAGCGAGAGAATCCATATTTAAAGATTTTGATTTGCTTTTGTTAATCTTTTTATTTGGCCGTGCACAACAACTTTTAAACATAATTTTTAAATAATAATCTCATAGAATATAGCTCTATTTGAAAACATACATAAACTTTTGAGTAACCGTAACATTAAATATCAACACTGTGTATTTATAGTAAATATATTTTTCTACACATTGATAACGCTTAATAATGAGTTCAGAATCGTTAATATGACATATCCGTGTGATAATAGTGTGTATGGCATAACAAAGTATTGTGCGATGTGAGAGGTCGTGAGGTCGGCGGCCAGCCGGGCGCACGGCGGCGGGCGACTGGCGGCACTGACGCAGGGCGGATGCGCCGCCCGCCTGGCGCATCCTGCCACCCGCGTTTACTCGCACTGCTCTTAAGGAGCCCGCAAAGCTTTTGGATTAAAGGAGCAAAGTTATATACCTATAAAATAGATATTTTTGATACTGTTAAGGCCTTAATACATCATAAATTAATATCTTTTTATTTATTACTTTTTAATTAAAACACCTGTAGGTAAAGGTACATATGCATTAAACATAATACAATACTATGAACTGACTGCGGTTTAGGCCACGTGTGTAGGTACTTCTAATTAGACAATTGACATGACATGACTTCTCGCTTTAGCAGCGCGCAGAACATCGATGTACTTATTTATCAATACTAAACTCACCAATATAATGAAGAAACAAATTTAACAGATAGATATACACACAAAAAAATCTTAATTTGTTGACTACAATTCATCAAACCTATATATATATATATATATATATATATATTATATATATATATATATATATATATATATATATATATATATATATATATACCTATGTATTGACAATATAATAAAAAATAATAATAATAGTATAAAAAACAGAGATAATTTACGTAAGCTTTGGAAAAACAATGTAAACTTTTTCAGTAGTTTGTCGCCTGCAACTAATGACGGCCTGACGGATGGCGGCCTTGGTTTGGGTGCAAGAGGGACGCGTCTGCGTATCTAACAGGAAAATGATTTTGAGTTCAAACATCAGGGGTTTTATGAAACTATCACTACATATTATTATTAAATAAAGTCTCCCGCCACGTCTGTCTGTCTGAACTCGATAAACTCAAAAACTAGCGAACGCATTTTCATACGGTTTTCACTAATAGAAGAACTGATTCACGAGAAAGGTTTAAATGTATAACTCATTAAGGTTTCATGTAAATTGGCTGAAATATGACGATGATTATTTGAGGTGATGGAAAAATTATGCCGACTGGGAGCTTTATTTGCGTACGCCGCGTAAACCAATAACGTTATATGAAAACAATGTGTTACAGAATTATTGCTCTTAAAAACAACTATTAAACTCCAGGTCTTAGCTTACCTGTGTAGTAAATTCTAAATCCGTCCATGCGTTTCGGCATCAAAGAGTAACAAATATTGACATATAATATGTACTGTGTAAATACATAACCTTAGTCACTTATAATAGTAGTGTGATGCCAATTGTATTTTTTTACTTAAAATAGAAACTGATAGAAACAACTAAATTATTTTTATTATTTTTTAATATAGTCTATACATCTATACAGATAAATAAAATAGAAGTGTCTGTTTGTAATGTCAAATTAGCAGCGTTTTACTAAATGCATATGAAATATATACGGCACAAATAACAAAAACACAATTTTTAAAATTTCTGTGTCTGTTTGTTCCGGATTTTGACGGGACTTTCGCTGGAAGATAGCTGATGTTATAGGGAGTAACATAGGCTACTTTTATTTTAGAAAAAGAATTAGGGTTCCGCTCAAAAAAATTAAAACCTGCCTAGGGATGAGCCCAAGCGAAGTAATGGTGAGTCGCTAGTATAGCAATGAAGAAAAATTTAAATTATTATTATTAAACTTTATTATTAATATTGGGTAAAAAATAGGACATCATTACAATCTGAATGGTTATAATGCCTCTAGTTAATGAAAATTTGAATAATTCTTGCCTTAACTTTATGGAATTTGAGTGTTATACATAACTACTCTTCTATAATAAAAAAAGCGATAGGTCAATGCAGGTTTTTAAATTCTTTAAAAATCGGCCCTATAATTTCTTTGAACTTCCTTTATTTATATTTGTATTATTTCTTTAATTTTCTCTATAAATTTAGATTCCATTAAACTTGAAGAAATCTTATAAAATATTCTACACAGCCAATTACTAAAAATGCTATATTTTCAGTTCATCAAATAAACATCTTCCCAACATCATAAGATATATACAGCCTTTCAACAGGAGGCACACATCTTAGTGAAAAACTTAAGACCTATGAGATTGCTCATAGAAACTAAATCTCAATGATTGACTTTTGGGGCTTCCTAGTGTCAAAATTAACACACATGTGAATTTCTTATTACAAAAGAGGTCAAGTTATAATTAAAAAAATGTTCATTAATAGTTTTTACATTTATGTTATAATTTTTTATGGAAGTTAGAAGAATTTAAAGAAAAATATAGAGTTAAGCAAGAATATTCTAAATAATTTAAATATTCATTATTCATATGCCTATGACACGAAGTGTATCTTCTGATGTTTAAAATAATACTGATGCCCGATTTCACCAACAACCAAAAAGCTACCACCCTACGTATGGCATCCCTAGCTTAAAAGTACCCTAAAGTAGCACTAAATTAAATTTCGTTTTACGAACGTCTTTAAGCCCATATTTCGAGCACCTAAATTTAGGGGTCCTTTTAATATTTAGGTGACCCCTAATTGTCGGTGAAACAGAAACTGTCCCCTAACAGCCCCCTAACAATGCTTAGCGGATCCCTTAAACTTAGGTGACATTGGTGAAATCGGGCATAAGTGATTTTTAGGCATTTTAACTGTCAATTACATGTTGTAAGGCTCATGCAGGTATGCTATATTTTTGAAAAAGCTAAGTGCATAGCAGTCTAAATGAATAGAAATATTTTGAGGAAATTACAGAGGAAGATGTTATGGTCAGCTTAACTAACTGCACTCTTAACTACTCTGCCCCATTGAAATAATTACTTAAGGTTTTCTTTATATTTCTACTTTGGAACTCTTAACAACCTTACTACTACATAGTGAATCATATTGCATTCAAACTAAATGATGGATTGTGTTTTATTAACTATTGACTAACTTAAAAAAAATCTATTACTGAATGAACTAAGTTACATGGATATAGTTTAGCATTGAAAGATTTTAAATTTACTGAGTCACTTCATAAAAAAGATTAACTTCCTGTTCTGTTGTCATCACAGATTGAATAAAAATAATATGCATGTAAGCAAAATTCTTATTTATTGTTACTTTCAATTCAGTAACTTCAAAAAAATATATTATATACCCTATTAAGAATTCTTTAGAATAGTGCTATTTTTATATCTAGCATAATGAATTTTGAGTACTAGTTAATAGAGCAATATTCTGAGATCCAACTACTATAACTAGGGCTCAAATATACAAAATAAAAGTAAAACAAGTTTAAACTATATTATCATAATAAGACTATAATATCATAATAAGTCTATAAAGTTTTCTCTAAAATATTGTGCTAATTATGTGTTTAGCTCATTATAAATAAGCTCAGAAAACATAATCTACGAAGATGAACATTAATTGATTGGCATAAAAACATAAAATATACAATAAACAAAATGTAATGAACGAGACAAGCTGATTAAGTTAGAAATCCTTTTTGCAGTAAAATTAGAATAAGCGGTGATGTTATCAAAAAAACTGTGTTTCCTTTTATAGTCATGAGTGTAAATGCTAATTAAATACTTACAATTTATGGCAGTGTAATTTATTTTCTATTGCTGTTTGCACCGTTATTCACTTACTTATTTAGATTATTATATGAGTAAAAATTGTAAAAAATCAGTCTTTACAGTAGATTCAATAGGTTATTTGTCAAATAAATAATTTACTTTCAAAATTATATGAGAGAATGTTGCCATATGCATACCACAATTTTGTTAGCATAAATATTGTTATTTGTGAATAGAATGAAAGGACCAAGGAAATATTAATATTAGTTTTTAACTCTTAATTTAATGATCTAAAAATGTAAAATTGAATTCTTGATTTTTGATACATACGTAGAAGTTCCTTAGAGAAAATATGTCAGTAAAGTCTATTAATTAAAAAAAGATAGCTCAGCTCTTTTTAAATTGTAATAGTAATTTACTACTTTATTACTTTATTTATACTAGCATTGCCCGCGGCTCCGCCCGCGTTCAAATCACCGATCACGATCAATTTCTTAGATTTTACATATTAGTATACTCTTACATTGCAACTTTTGTATTTTTTCTCACAAATGAGATATTTTCGCGCGGTAAAAAGTAACCTTTAAGTTATCCCGGATAACCATTAACCAGCTATCGCCATACCAAACTTCATCAAAATTCCTCTAGTGGTTTTTCTGTGATGCGGTAACAGACAAACAGACAGACAGACAAATATTCTAAAAACTATAGATTCGGCCTCTGTATCGATAATAATATTTATTTCAATAAGATTTTCCAAAAACTATTTATATATTATAATTTAATGTACAGATTCGGCTTGGTTACAATTTTATTATATGTATAGATTATTATTACTATATTGGGACACAGAGTATTTACATTATTATTTATTATAGCCTTCCATATGATCATGAAGAATGTCTTCATGTCCATGATGAACCTACCCTACCCCAGCCTGCAAATTTATGATATTCGCAATGAAAAAAATACTAATCGATAGATTTTTAATAGCTCAATTCAACTACGTAGCCCTTCCAAATTGCTCACCATTAATTATAAAATTAAAAATCAATAAAGTCCTTGAAAAAAAATTCATTTATCCGTATATTCAAATTTCTATATCTTTTGATATATACAATATTTTAAATTGCTCAAAGTTCTAAAATACTGCTCAAGTTGCATTTGTAATTGCTCAAGTAGAGT